GCAAGAACAACCACAACCACAACCACTTACTCTGCATCATCCCATCGTCATCGCCAACAGCATCTTCTTTTTCACCACCATCGCCATAATCATCGTTGCAATCATCGTCGTGATCATCATTATCATCACCATCTGCACTGGTGTTACCAAAAAAACGCACACAGTCTCCATCAAAATGGTAAGCATCGTCGGCATAGTCAGCCTCTTGTACCCCATCACCATCTGCAACGGTTTTATTACCATCACACTCATCGCAAAGTTGAGCCCAGAATTGAACAAGTAGAACTCTACAGCAAGTTGGAGCCCGAGCAATCAACTCGCCAAGCATAGGGGGGAGTCGGGATTCGCTTTCAGCCAACTCTCTCTCCTCTCTGTCTTTCTCCCTCTCTCTCTAGCTCTCTCTCTCTCTCTCTCTCTCTTTCCCTCTCCCAGACACACACAACACACAGACACACACACACACACACACCACTCACTGAAAGACGCACACACACACACACACAGGTTTTGCCTGGAGATAGATGGGAGCTCCTCCACGGCATTGCCATGTGCCTTGGCCAAGGCAGCTAGGCAGTGCTTTCGACGTTGCAGGAGCCAGGGGCCAATAATCTTCCTGTTGCACGTATGAGAGATGATATACATATGCAAAGATCCATGTATACAGCGTTGACAACATACCTCGAGTAATTTCGGCGCAAACTTCTCGAGGAGGTCTGGTTTTGTTGCCGCGCATAGTCAGTGCCAAGAGAACCCTGAAGTCGATCATCGGCTGAAGCGACGGGCGCAAGCACAATTCCCATAATCAAACTTGCTAGTAACACGCTGTGAATTTCCACCTTGTGCAGGTTCCATCTTCGGGACAATTGAAACGATCGTGCCTTTCGTCGCGGGACTTTTGTCAAAATCAAGTACAACGTGGTTTAACTGATCTCACGCCGCATTCCACGGCCCTATTTTCCTGAAATACTGCCACACATGGAAACTGAAAGATCCCCCTGGGAGGCTACCGAACGACTCGTGTAGTGGCCCCTCGAGGATGATACAAACACAGTGCATACTGCTTGCTCGCTGCTTTTACAGCATGACTGAAACGAGTATTTCTCAAGGGTACAACCATGCAAGTACCAGTAGCACCGTGCAGTTCATGTCGCTGCTTCTTGCTAGACGTACGCAACTTACAGGTGCTTCCAACAGAACACCGCACCCTCATTCCCTCCGGCAGCACAGGCCTTCAAGGCTGCCGCCCAGATTTTGTCAGTGAACACGGGTAGCTTGTTGTTTGCCGTGTCCTGAAGAGCTTCTCTGTCAGGGCCCCACCCCCCTGCCCCCTTCGCACTCCTATGACCACGCCTGGAAAGAAAAACCTCAGCTAACTCTTCGAATGCTGCGGCACCCGGAAGATCACAAAAGCCGAATACCTCAGAACCAAATCTGGAGCCCCGTGGTTTAGGGTTTCCGCCCACAGAACCCTATAGGGTTTAGGTTTAAGGTTCCCCTCGGTCCTCTGTGTCCACACGATTGCCAGCAAACGAACATTGCAGCTGGGCAAAGCGGTCAGCTTCTGCAGACGAGTTCCTGGGCTGTGGCGTAGCACGCATCTGCCAAAAAACTGGAATCCCAGTCTCGGAAAAGCTTGAAAGGCCGCATGCGGAAGCTGCTCGTACAAGATGTATGTTCTGTTGTGCATGCCGTTGGAAGAACGCTCCCGTGAAAACCTGCCAGACAGTGATTTAATGCCAATCTGAAAGACAGGTGGTGCTAATCATGACAGCCACCAAATGTTGATCTGCATAGGGATTTTTAGGGCGCACGATATGATAAGCTAAGTTGGCCTCATTCGCCAGTTGCCTCGTCCTATACACTCATGCACCACGAGGTACCCTCGCGTGCCGCTGCGTGACCTCGCTAGAGCTCAGTGAGACTGTCATGTGCTTATTGCAGTTGCAAGAAAACTCAGAGACAACTACTCGTATGTTCGGCAGCAGTCTTTCCGAGAGCGCTTCAGCAGCAGCAGCAGCAGCCGCAGCGGCAGGAGAATACGGAGTGTCACCGGTCGTCGCGTCACTCGCACTTGCTTCCTGCAGTTTGCCTGTACCCGAACTTGAGTCTGAAGCCCACTGCCCGGCATGCAAACTTTATCGACCCTCAAGCCCTGAGCCAAAGCCCCGTGCGGCACAGGTTCTCGCCAATCGTCTTCCACTCTTCCTTCTCCTGACTTGAACAAAAGAAGCATCTTCCAGCATTCGGTTGGCTTTTGAGAGCAGCCGTCGAGAGGAAAGAAACGTCAGGACGACACATCGCCAAGGTTGGGACCTAGCAGTGCTACTAACATCCTTTAGCCTCAGAATGAACGGAACAACCTGCAGCTCACTCCACAGCGCGACATCTGCACGCTGTTTCGACTGCAAACGTGTGTGTGTGTGTGTGTGTGTGTGAATGTGAATGTGCATATGTAGGCCGTAGGCAAGCAGGCATGCACGCAAGCAACCATGCGGCTATGTATGCATGCATGCGCACAAGTAGTATACGCCTTAACCCTACACCCTAAACCCTAACCCCGAACCCCTAAACTCTAAGCCCAAACCCCTAAACCCTAAACCCAAACCCCTAAACCCTAAACCCTAACCCGTAAACCCTGCAGGCATGCACGCGTCGTCTCCTCCTTCTCCATGTCGGCGAGGCCTTTTTCGAGGCAGCTGCCCCTGCCGGCACATTTCAGCGAGCTCATGAGGCTGTCGTAGCTGTACCTCGGCTATAGAGGAGTCGGTGTGACGCTTGGGCTTGTAGCTCAGGGGCTGAAGTGACAGGGTCAGGACTCTAGGGCGAGGGCTGTTTGTTTTTCGGAACTTCTCGATTTGTGTGAGCTACATTTGGGGAACTGGCATATCCATGTACCTTGGCCTCAGAGAACATGCTGAACATGGTCCTATAACCGACAGAAATCTGCTGCCTAGACTCAAAACCTGGGGGGCAAGTCTTGGGGTCCCAGACCCCACAATGTGTTTGTGTCAGCCTCAAAATCTGAACGCATGCATCTTCCGAATTCCCTCAGCCACAAGATGCTTGCGACAAGTTGCCGTGTCTTGGTCTTGTTACATCTACTGTACTAATGAATTACTAATGCAATGCCCCCTTCCTTCCGGTTTCTTATCACTACCCCTACAGCGACTTGCCTCCCGACCTATTCCTACTCCAGCAGATACACGTCATCTTCCTCCTCCGCCTACTACTACTACTACTACTACTACTCCTCCTACTCCTACTCCTACTCCTACTACTACTACTACTACTACTACTACTACTACTACTGTACTACTTCTTCTACTACTACTACTGCTACTACTACTACTACTACTGCTACTACTACTACTACTCCTACTGCTACTGCTACTGCTACTTCTGCTTCTACTTCTTCTTGATGCTCTACTACTACTCACACTACTACTGCGACGATTACTGCTACTTTAAGGTTCTTTGAGTGCTCCGCCGAGCCACCCCAGGTCGATCGACCCGTAAGTCCCTGCAGAGTTGTGCATGAGAGGCCACCACTGCTGGGAGAGCGCGCCTGCGTCCACCAGAACCAAGAAGAGTTTGCAAAGTTACCTATTTGTTCCCTGACGTTTACCTCAAGAACCCAAAACCAACTATTTTGTAGGTTCTTATTATACACCCTAATATGGGATTTATAGGGACCCTACAAAAAAGTTGGTTTTGGGTTGTAAAGGTAGGGTTTAGAGTACGGTGCTTAGAGGGGATGTTGGAAGTTACTCAGCCCAAGCTGACAGTCCCCGGAGATACATGCAGGGTTTAGGGCACTTGCTGTTTTGACTGGGAGCTCGGTGAAGTCTGAGCTGGTTAAGCAAGGTCTGTGAATGGAGTGGGATTTCGGTGCTTACCGACGCTCGTTCTGTGCAACTCCGCGAGGAATGAGGGTGTGGAAGGTGTTCGGTTGTGCAATTCCAACAGCCCTGGGCAAGCCTTTGGGGCTTAGGATTTACGGCCTTGATCTGATCTCCGCAGGGTAACTAGGCGGGGATTCAGGCTGGTCTGGACGTCAACCCTGAAATGCCAAACCGTCCAGACCTTGCATCAGTCGCTGGTATGTCCGCGCCGTGCATGCCATCAGCGGTGCTTCATGTGTGCCTTTCTCTCGAGAGTATTTACCAAAACAACTACAGCGAACGTGGCTACAGGTCTCCCAGCTTTAGGCAGCTATGAAGGACAGGTACCATGCCTCTCTTCCCGTGACTCCGCCAAGGCAGGATCGAAGACGACAAGGAAGGCTAGAAGACTGGTGAGCTGAACTAGTGGCTCCTTTCTAGACTGACGTGCAGCTCGTGGCAGGCCTGAAAGCCTTGAAGTAATGCTTGAAGTAATGCAGGTCCCTCGCACGGGGTCAACACAGCAATGAGTAATTACCTGGCCTATGTGACGAGCAAACAAAACCATGACTCGAGACCATACTTACACGCAAAAGTCGAAAGCTTGCCCCCCGCAGCCACCACCATTCTATAGTTCGCCAAAGGCAGAGCCCCGAACCCTTGAGCCCCAAACCCCGAAACCAGATGCCCTCCACTCCTCAGCCCTAACCCAGAAACCCGAACCCCTCAGACCGCAGCTGGGGTTCATTTGTCCAGGTATGGCTCGCGGGCTTCGCGAAGAGCCTCGAGGCAGCGATCCTCGAGCAGAGCTTAGGGGGATCCGGCAGGCTGACAGTGGCTTCCTGGGTTGTTAGGGGTGGGCCATAGGGCTCTGTTTAAGGCGGCAGAGGTCAAGATTTTAGGGCTTGGGTTCAAAGCCGGGCTCAGGGCTTCTAATTTCATGAGCGGCCCTTTCCGATAAGCATTGAGCTGCATTATGAGCATCATGTTCTTGGCAATGTTGTTCTCACTTCTCACTACTGCTCTGACGCAGGTTGTGGAGGGTTTTTTCATCCTGCAGAGTCGGACACCTGCAGATGAGGCCTTGTTCATGTCAGGTCCGAGCCGATCTTTCCTGCCCGTTCCTTCTGAATGCGAAGACATCTGCAACAAGCACTGGGAAAGCCGCTCTGGCCGTTCGTGAAGGTCCGCTGCCTCTCCGTGACACGTGAACCTTCGTTCCAGGCAAGATTGCACCCCGGTCAAACCCCACACAAACACACCCCAAACTCTCGAAATTCAACACATGAAGCCCCTGAACTCCAGGCCACCCGAATTGCTAACGCGGGAAAGCCGGGTCCATCGAACTGTCGATGATGCCCCTGTTCCCTGACGCAGTGATGGAGACGCTGGGAATCCTTCAGTCTGCTTGGAAGTGCCAAGAGCGGCCATGCATGTGGGTAGTTCTCTAAATCAGGGTCCTTTTCAGAGTGCCGTACTATATTGGGGATCCAAAAAGAGACCCTAATTTAGAGAACTACCCATGTGATGAAAGCTGTGGGCATTTTGAATGCGACGGGCAGGAAGGAGTTCTCCTACTGTTCGTTGCTACACAGGTCATGCATGTTGCCGGACATGCATGCTGAGGCTTCCAAACGCCGACGACTATGCAGCACTAGCATCGTTGAAGGGTGTCTTTGGCCGGTGTCTTGGGTGTGTCTCGAGAAGAGTACTGATGCCGCCAATGAACAGCAAGCATACTATACTGCGTGCGATACGCTAGCCTTGATGAGATGTTAGTGGCTCTGCGAATGCTAGCAATCATGCTAGCAGGGGCGTGGCTATTACCGATCTTTGAGGTATTGCTGCCTTCGTCGGGCCAGGCAGGCCAAAGTACCATACCGATACGCAGAGCATGTGATGAACATGATCGAAACACTCCACGATGAACATGGCATTCGCGCATCGACTCGTGATGCTGGCTGGCCATGGAACCTGAAGTGCTAGGAAAATGACTGGCAACCCTGAGATTATTGAGGGCAAGCTGCTTACGAGTGCTTCTCGTGCAGCTGCTGTCGCTCTACGCCGCTTCTCTTCACAACATGGACAGCATTAGCGACGATGCGACTAAGATGTTGGGTGGTAGTGTCGTGCAGCTGCTATATAGGGGCAGTACAGTGATGTCAACTAGTCGAACATGCTTGGTATGCTCAATATACTGTCAACATTTGAAACTTTCTGGACGAATGGCAGAGTATGGTTAAAAGAGCCCATACACTAGGAGCATGGCAATGTGTCAGGCCACTAAACCTCCTAAAATCAGTTCTGCTAATGTTCTACTCACGACCACTACAGGAAAATGCATCGCTGGCACTGACTGCGGCAACGGCTGACATGATCTCTGAGATTGCCCTGGTTTCAGTAGAGATGCGTCCTACTTGTTGGTTTCGGTGACAAAGAATTAGGCTGCCCCAAGAGCCTCGAATTTTCTCTTTCTTAAGAATTCGGCCGGGACACAGGGAATGTAGTGCTCCGACGACGTTCAAGGAAACCGCATGAACGATGGCAGCAGCAACGTTCCTCGCAAGCAGGCTCTCTTCTCGGCTCTACGGCCGCAATATAAATATATATATATATATATCTCTCTCTCTCTCTCTCTGAGTGAGTGAGTGAGTGAGTGAGTGAGTGAGTGAGTGAGTGAGTGCGTGCGTGCGTGCGTGCGTGCGTGCGTGCGTGCGTGCGTGCGTGCGTGCGTGCGTGCGTGCGTGGGTGGGTGGGTGGGTGGGTGGGTGGGTGCCGAGGCGGGGGATTAACAAGTCTGAGTGT